TAAACTTTAATGTAATCACAATAGCAAACTTCTAAAAATCTATGAAGAATCTAGAGAACTATGAAGTAAATTTCATAATATCTTTAATAGAGCACTGCAGTTTAAAACTATTGCGGACAAGTTTAGGTCGAGGAACAGAGCAAATATAATTCTTGATATTACAGAAGCCATGAACATCCATACTTATAGTTTTCAAGGTTAAGTTTTCTTCTATTTTGTACCAACTACACAGACAACCAAGTCCACGAGCATGCTCTGGTGCAGAAACTGGTGCCTGCAGTCTTGAATATTGTTGATTTTTCTTTGTTTTTCCAGATAAGTAGCTGAATGATAGGATTCTGCCAATAACGATAGAACTATCTTCAGACAAAAATGCTCACCAATCACTGATGGATATGAAATCTTCTCTTGATGGAATAGACTTGATATTGGTTATTATGGCTTGGTAGGTCCTTCAGTCTTGGTAATGTTAAGACTCTTTTCAGACGGTCTGCACTAATTTTTGTGTCCCCACTCTGTAATAACCAACAATTAGAACTTTTCTTAATTACCGCTGGTTGCCCAGAACCATCTCCAACAAGAATGAAAGGTGAAGTCTCACAGAGATTCACATTATTGTATGTTTTCAAACCAATGCTCCCAGAAGACACAATATATAAATCTTCAACTAGATCAGAATTTTGATCACTGTCACCTTCTTCACTTTCACCATTATTTTCAGTTTGACCATCAGCAGAATTAAGTTCAAAGTTTTCGACATCAAGCAGATCACCTTCCTCTTCGTTTACCTCATCATCAAAGATAGACATATCAGCTGGAGTGAGCGTACGAACTAGACAAGAGGGGAAGTATGAAGCTGACTTTGTTTTCAGTAGGCCAAAATGTAAGGCATACTTAATTGCTTGATTCCTTGCTGATGTCACAACTCTTTCTATTTCATAATCTTCAGGCAGTGATTGTGGTATATGGTATGCTGTAGATGATTGCTTGAGCACTTTGACATTAGGCCTACCCACGGAAAAAAAGTTGCCGAGGTTCGAGTCTCATTTTAAAGAACACACCTTGCCATGAATTTTAGTCATAGTCCGAGCTCTGTACGACGAAAGATGGCCGGGCGCCGGGCTCTTTTCGGTTCGGCCCCTCGTGGCGCTCGGAGCGCCTCGCCATGTTGCGGGCCTCCTGTCGCACGGCACGCGAGGCCGGCGGAGGCGACTCGGTGCCGAGATGGTTCCCTATGGTGTCTACTTTCGGCGGATAACTTATAATCCACGATCGGCGCAACCGTGTCGCCTCCAGGGGCCTAAGTCTCAAAAACCACGCTACTCGAATGTGACGGAAAACTATCGAAAATAAGTGGGGGTTTCTTGGTATCGTTCTGTGGGCCAAACCAAGACCTTTCGATTCCAGGTGGTCCTGCCACTAAGACGCTACGCGTCTAGGCGTGAGCGCCGAAAGAGTGCCGACAGCGCAACGGCGGCCGTTTGAACAAAGAGCGCGCGGCGCGCTGCACCGAGCCCTGGAGTGCGTTCGGAAAGTCCACCCGAGTCGCCCCAGACCGTTCGGAAATACTCGGGTGGCTCCCCTGGTCCCCCCACCATCTGAGGGAGAAGGCCGTTCGGATACCGCTCGGGTAGCCCGAGCGGGCGACTCCGCCACCCCACAAAATAGTGAGGAGACTGAGTCACCCAGGCGAAAGTGGCGCGAAGTCGGAGGAATTTCTGAAGGGACCTTTCATTGTGCTGTGCTAGACTCTTAACAATAAGAAATATGGACGAAGTTGTCAATACCCGTCAGCATCCTGTCATCGTAGATGGTGAAGCGATGTGCAAGGACGGCAGGATTTTATTGACGAACGTGAACGGTAAGTGGGGAAATTTGTGCAAGAGCAAGATGTGTTATAGGGGTTATGTTCAAAGTACCAATTTCTTTTGCTGTCTTAGGAAACAATCCAGGCTGGGTTGACATTACGCCTGAACTGCTCGCCGAGCACAATCTACTTCCTCCTACTGTTACCGTTCCAGCACTAGATAACACTAGACAGAGTGTAGTGCAGGACAATGAAGGGTCCCCCCTCACAAACGATGGGAAGGTGTTGCTCTATGACCATACAGGTAAGTGCTATATTTTACTGTGTTTGTTTCTAATTTACGGTGCCAAATATTCCTTTAATTGGTAATGCATTGTTGATTGCAGATAACATACAGTTTGAAGCTCCCTTGACGGCAGAACTCTTGGCAATGTTTAATATAAGTGTTGCGCCTGCTGAAGGCAGTGAAGGTTTGTGGAT